GACTTGCATGTCCCAGTGATGAGTAATGACATCAGTCTAAACAGGGAGCCACTGTCAGCCATATCGCTCCCCTAATCAGACTGCGGTTCATAGCCGCTGGGGCTGGCCAGCTCTGTCCCTGCCCTGCTTTCCCTGCTGTGTCATCCAGGGTAGTCTGCTCCTTCCACGGAGTGTCTACAGCTGTCTTCGGCAGGAGCCTGGAGGACTGCGATAAAAACTTCCTGCTCTTTCCAGTGTGTCTCTAGAACTTTAAGCAACCAGAAAGGGTGAAGTTGAAAAGCTGGATGTTAAAGACAGGAGATTAAGAGAGTTGAAAGGTGATAGTTTCAAAATTAATCATAATTTCTGCATTTTAAATGAGAGACAGGAGTATCTCACTGGTCTGGAGATATATCAGTGTCTTAAAGTATGTCTTAAAACTTAGGAAGTGTGACAAAACTTATCATAGGAGAGAATTTAGAATATGTTTTCATGGAAGATAAAAAAAGTGAAGGTTATACACCATAATAGTAATGGTATCAACCAGAGAAAATTCATTCTGTATTTTAAAATATATTGATAATCATATGCTAATGAATATCAACTAAGCACTAGAGACAAGAAAAAAAACTTGTGGGAGAAAGTGCAGGAGAAAATTTTTGAAGTTAAAGAAAAAACTCACAAGAAACTAAACAGGTACAGGATGGAAACAACTGTTTTTAATCTTTACCTCTATTGCTGTCTCCACTAAATGTATACTAAATTGGCCATGAGTGAAAAGTACAACTTAAATTAAACAATAGTAGAAAATATATAACAAGAGACAATGTACCACATCATTGGAAGGAAACAGAGAATATGGGCTATGCCAGCGGAACAGAACATTGTCTCTATTACGAAGAGGTATGAAGTCAGGTGAATCCCAACAATGTTTAGAATAAAATATGATTAAAAAACCAGTAGAAATTTGATGCATAAAAGATTTATTGGGAAAAACAATTTGAAGAAATCAGAGAGAACATACAAAACAAAACCGATGAAGAGAAGACAAATGACAACAAACCAAAAAAAGGATGAAAAATGAAGCTAAAAATTTCTACACTTACAGTTGTCAAGATTAAACGTCACCAACAGGTAAAAAACCACAGTATTTTACATGAGGTTCATGAGATTAAGAATAAAGATAATTACAGACTGAAAGAAACCTGAAAATGTAAGAGAAAAATTACAGAATAGAACATTAGGGAAAAAAACTATGAAACTAGAGTGAAAGTAAATAATTAAGAACAGAAAAATAAAAGCTTAACAGAAAATCCTACGGGATGTAATATTTGGGATGAATAGTTTCTTCTAAGTTTCTACATTCCTGACAGATACGAAGGATCCGGAGCTGGCTCTAGCAGGGCCCACAGGTGTCCCACAGCTTCCTGCTGTAGCGGGGCACGGCGCAGGGGCTGCAGGCGGGAGAGGCGTAGGGTCTGCCAAAGGTGCAGAGGCCCCCCGAGCCCAGCGTGGCCCCGGCGCCGTAGAGGCCCCCCAGCCCCAGGGAGCCCCCAAAGGCGGGTGCTCCGGAGGGGCCCAACCCGGCTTCCTGGGGGGAGG